AAAATGTTGTTCTTTTAAGTTTCTGTTGATTTAAAGCCACACTGTACTACTTGTAGCTACTTGCTCCTTCTATATAAAAAAACAATGCCCAATCGGTGACCATTGGTCCCCCATGATCCTCTTTTTCTTACATGTACATTGAGAGCCGAGTTGATGAGATAACCACCTGACCAGTGACTTTGCAGGGTGGACTAATCCCTCATATAAACTAGTACAGATGAGCTTTAATATTTAAAAATAGAAAAACAATGTTTATTTTCAATGAGTATCTATTGATACCATTATCCAAATACATTTAATTCCACGTTCATCAAAATTAGGGTGTTCATTTCAGAGAAATTTCCTGAGATAATAATTACCACACATATTATCTTGCTTCAGACTAAATCTATCATCATTAAAAAGTTAAACAGAACCTTTAATCATGCACCCTCAATTAACTGTGACGCTTCCAACAGATGGTTAATGTAGCAAGGGGTACATTAAATGATAATTATGTCCAAGTTCAGATTAATTAAATTTACTTTCATAAGCTGTACAGCGTACCACAGCGTACCACAGCGTACCACAAATTTGGGCAGCTTGGGCTCATAATACAATGGGTTTAATACCGAATCTTACAAATAAGGGCTGAAAAAGAATAAACAAATGATATTCACAGTTCACTATCCAAAATTATCAATGCAGTAATGCAAGGGAGGGGGTCAAACAAAAATTCCCCCCCCCCAAAAAAAAAGTAAATAAAGAAATAAAGAAATAAATTTTTAAAATGCTTGAACATGTAGAAAGGATCCTACATGTACATGTACATGTGTGTGTGGGGGGGGGGGGGGATTTAAACTTTTATGATGGTTTGATCATTGACAGGAAATCGCATTCCAGTCACTTGATTAAAGTGATATCAGGAAAGAAAAAAATAATTGGTACTGTTCAATAATCATGATAATTAGTGTTATAGTCATTTATTGGAATCCAGTCAGTGTAGATTGAACAAAAGAGAAATCATTCACTTGCCACAAAATGCTATACTATATATAGATCAAAATTCAAAAGGCCTTATGTTCATGCGCAATGGAAATATTAATACAATTTATATTTGCAGATAAACCCATGTGTAATTGTTCATGCAAATTGAATTTCCTTCACCCCATTGGATGTGAAGTCGACTGCAATATGTTTGATTTTAACCTAAATCTAAAAATAAGTCCATCAATATTCATTGAAGTTTACAAAAATTTGCCCCTTTTCACTTGACCTGCAAAAGAGTGCACAATGCAATTAATAATATGGATCTAGGCCACAAATTATATGAGCATCGCGGCATCAGTTTATGACGTCATCAGACCATTTACAACCTAAAGAAAAATAAGGACCATATTGATGTTATCTGACAACACACTAAATTCTTTTCAATTTCACACATTTGCGAACAAAGGAGGCCCTGTATGAACAGATTAATTATTAATCATAACGCAAATTAAATATGGAATGTTGATTGGAGCCTAGTCAAATAGTAGAGGAGGAACAGATTACTGACTTTTGTGATTGAGTTACATGTACGTGTACGTGTAGTGTCAATAGACGACACCTGATAAATAGCAAGCACCTCAGAATCTCATGAAATGTTTTTCTAAAACAATATTTACACTGAAGTACATGAACATGTACAATAAAGAGACAATGAAATAGGATGGAATTTTAAGATACATCATTAAATGATTTGATAATTAATCGATCTTTCTTTGTGAGCAGGATGTCGGTGAGAGTTGCCTGATACCCCATTCAGACTACTGGTATAAGGAATGTTACGAACCTTGTATAAAATGCTTGTTGGCCTGCAAATGGGACATGCAGTATTACCTTAATTTTGGGGGGACCTATAACATACACCTGTACACATGCTGCATTATATAGGCCTACACATACATGTACTGTACATGTACAATGTATAATGTACAGTGTACATAAAGTTACATGTAGATGTACATGTATATTCATGTGTAAAACCACAGTAAAACTGATCTAGGCTGGACCAAAGACAGGGAATGCTGCTAAAACTCTATCAATAATCTGTGTGTAGGAGCTGGAGCAGTATGTTTGCTATCTAGGGACAACTGTATGCCAACTGTTCATGTACACATTAATAATACTGGCATTGAGTAGAAAATTATTGTTTTATACCCTGGTAGCCACGCTACAGAGTGAATCAGGCCAAAACTTACAAGGATTGAATGAAGAGAAACCACATAGACAGATTGTCAGGGAATTTCACTGTGGACCCAACCACAAACTGTAAGCTCCATAATTATGCCATTCATGTCAGCATTGTATTGTAAAGACGGAAGGCTTTAGGGTCCATAGGTGTGTCCAGTTATTGTCCTGCTTATAGACACACACAGACATTCATGCATCCCACCATGGACCAGTCCATGATTCCACTAAACAAAGTTTGAAACCCATTTTCATCCCACCTAAAAATGTTTCAACTGTTACAGATAGCAACCGAGCTGAGTCACATCGACAACAGAACGACCAAAAAAAATTACATTACCCCGACTGGCAGAAAATCAGCCGGCATGAGTTTGTTTATAGTTGTGACGGAGGTATAAACAAAGCAACAAGAAATGGGTAGCAGAGAATAAATATGCATTATGCAATTTTTCATCAAGTCCAATTTGTTATGATTATACTTCATTTTGCATATTTGGAAGGTTCAGAAAAACATGTAATAATGCAATGTTATTGTAGAACTTTAGGGATTTAACTTCAATTGACACACTACAAACAAACAGGAGAGAATTTCTAAGGGAAAATGCATATTCCATTGAAGAAAATAAAAATAACAAAAGCAACTAATGGGACTGGGTAGCCTACATGTACTTCCCTAAGCTCTCAAAAAACTCATCACAGATGAAGGGGGGGGGGGGGTAAAGGGTAAGTTTGAACATCACTGTCAAAGTGCAGAAATACATTTGGAACTTGTTAAAATACATGTATGTACTTTTACACTGTAAAGTGTAGTGACTGATGTATTTCAATGAACAATTCCATATATGCAGTGCCAAATCCAAACACTTCCATACACTGGAGAGTGGTAGAGTAGGCGGCTATCATATTGTTGGTGCGATGACACATAATCAAAAGACAGAACATGACATAAACGCCTCAGGAATGGAGAGGTCAAGTTTGAGGTCAAAAGGTCAAATTGAGGGAGGATGAAGTGGATGAAGTATAGACACAGTGAAGGCATCAAGCCAGTCAGTAGTAAACAATGTCATTTCCAAGGTTTTAAAGGTACTCATGAACATCTAGAAACTTTCCTCACTTGAAAGCTTCTATGGCAAGAAACTTTTGTGAATTGCAGAAGTAATACTGTATGTTGTGAATTTGTGATAGATTCACTCATTTTTCAACATGAAACCCATGATGAATTTTCATCATTCACAAAATGTATGAAAGATTTTAGTTGGTCAGTTTGTACATGTACTCTAGCTTAAAGACCGTCAACACTACTTGGCCAGAAGGGATTAGACCACACAGCGAGGTCACTGACAGGTGGCTTTCTCATTAACTCAGCTCTCAACTAACATACGAAAAAGAGGATCATGGGGGACCAACAGGCACAGATTGGGGAAGTTTTCTATATAGAGGGAGCAAGTAGCTACAAGTAGGACAGTGGGGCTTTAAAGATTGAAAATTAGCCCATAAGGTAACAACAAGATTATATGGTCATTTTTGTTTGCGGCAATAAACTCACAAATTACATGGGTATGGAATTTCTTTGAAATAGCCTACTAGATACAGTGTAAATTTTAATCTAAGAATTCAGGGTTTTTCTATACTGCTGTATAGTGTAGTATGAATTAAATTCCTTCCTAAAGCATTCAGGGTTCTTTTTTTCAAATATTTGAACTCAAAATATTGACATTACGATAAACATTTCAACTACAGTAAACATTATGTACTGTTACAAACATGCATGTCAAAATGTTCAATATTTGTATTGGTATAGTGAAGGGAGACAAGAAAAGAGGTCCTTCTAGGCAGGTGGTCTTATTATACAGGTGGTCTTTTTATACAGGTGGTCGCTAAAGCAGGTTTGACTGTACCTTTGAAACGCAGTACTGACAAGCACTGTAGAAGTAGTTTAGCAAGCACTGGTTTTATTGCATTTTTGTCTACACTAGTAGCAGACAGGCTGTTTATTTTTGTATTCTGTAAACATACTGGCAGGTATTTTTCCCAAAGTTAAATAACTATACATTCCTGAATGTCATTTATAAAATCATTCTCATCTTTCAAAATCCTTGATACTAATAAAATGCCTTCCTCCATGAATAATCAAAAATATTCCCATCCCTGGTCAATAACAAAAAAAATTGATCTGGATACACCTAAGTACTACAAAATGTTCTCTTTAGTCAGGGGTACTGTAGGAGTCACGAGGCTAGCTATCTGGCAATACTCCTGTTTGTGATGAACACCAAACAGGGTTTAAACTGAAATTAAAGCAAGCATCCTTCTCATGTCAACTAGAATTTCATCTCACCAGCACTACATGTCCCTGTAAAGGTTGCATAGATCCGGAATTTCGAAAAAGAAGGGGCATAATATTCATAACATTTGATGACAAGACAAACAAAAAAAGGAAAAAAATTCATATGGGAAGAAGGCACATACTTGGACTTTTGCAATAAAGGGATACCGCTCACGTTTCAAACGGGAGGGGACACAGCATAATTGCCCCCTCCCCATCCCCCCTGAAATCTTCCAGTGGCTTCACCTTCAAACTTGAATTTTGCTACAACCTACCTAGCTGCAGACGGAAGTCAGTCATTGCACATATCAGGGTCTGAACATTCAAAGCTCTATTGCAATGGGGGGGGGGGGGGGGGGGGGGCCTGTCCCAGCCATTTGGGAACCTGGGTTACCATATATATACAAAACCTTTATTTATGTTGGTGTAAAATTATAGTCTATGCATGCAGACTCCAACTCACCCATATCAGAGACCTCCCCTGCCTCCTTCTCCCCGGTGGGGATCTGCCGCGATTGCTGCGCCTGCTGCGTCTTCAAGATCTGCATGCGGATGAACTCAATCTTAGTCTTACTATCCTGGAGCATCTGTTGAGCCTCAGCCAGGAGCTTGCGATCCTTGGTGGGTCCGGAGGAGTACATGTGGATCATGTTCTCCGCCCCTTGCTTCACCTTCATCTCGATGTTAAGCTGCTTCTCCAGGGCACCGATGCGGCTGTTAGGGTTGGGCTTGGGTGGGGGCGCGTCATTCTGGTCCGGCGAGAGGGGGTCGCTCTCCCCACCTGTTGATCGAGAGAGAGAGGGAAAAGGATGAGTTTTTTCATATTTTGATTGTTTACATACATGTAGAACAGTTACAAATGGTTATATGGGCTGGCACTACCATATCTCTTTTCAAATTCAGATAGCAAGTACACTCTAAGCAAATTCCTCTAACATGCACATGTACATCATTAAACATTGTCAAATCTCTCAAATTTACACCTTTTATCTTCTATTTTTTAATATGTGGATGTGTTAGGCTCTAAATGTTGGTACTTTCATCCTTTGTTTGTCTGTTCTTAATCTTTTTACATTTAAGAAGTCAAAGCAGCCCTACAATGTACATGTATGATGATACATGATATCAAGATTAACTTTCAATCAGCTTCTCCTTCAAATTTTCAGAGCCAGAAGGATGTTAACTATTAGTATTGGAAGAAAAAAAAAACACTAAGTTAATGCCTTTCTGGCTCCCAACAGACAAAATACATTTCACAATCAGACCTAAATGTTGCCTTTAAATCCCATCATTAGGACTTGAGTATTAGTTCCTAGAGTGTATCAACCTCCAGTGTAGTGAAGCCCTATATCAAGCCGAGGGACACTGGAGCCGAACACAAAAAGGACTTTATCCCTTATATGACCTGGGTGATTTGAAAGGAAAAGTGAGAAAAAAAAGGGGGATGGACCCATTGTCATTGCCCCTTTGAGGTAGGATTAAGGAAGGGTACAGAAGAATGGGTTCATTCACACTAGGTGAACCACTGCGCAGGCTGTGATGGACTAGTTTGCAGGCACAAACTCTAATCTGACACTTAAACACAAATCCATGAAATCTTGAGCAAAGCCTATCTCTGTCGTTCTCTGGCTATGTCAATTTTTTTAGAAGTACAGAGCCTATAGGGTGCAATAGAAAAATGCATCCTGCATAGTCTCTATCTTCAGACAGTGCTCGGTATCATTTAGGTAATACAACTGACCAGGTCTGCACCCTACAGACTAGTGCTGGACTACTCAGACAGGTCAAGAGGTTTGTGTTCAAAGAGAATTACATAATGAGGGGTATTTATGGCTTTTACTGTAACTGCTGCAAGTCTCGATTGAAAGGTGGAAATAAGAAGTGAAATGTGATGTAAAGTAAATGGAGCAAGTGAGAGAGTGTGTATAAACTAAAGTTCATTTTCTGTTCCTTTTCTCTCTGTGTTTGTTGAAGTAGTGAACACCCAAAGAAGTAACCGAACCAGTTGAAGAAAAAAACTGAATTACAATGTACAAGCAATGTAAACATTTTTAGATGGGTGAAAGTTCGGGTAAAATAATAAAATATGTAAGATGTAACTTTTTAAAGATTCAGATCATATCATCATTATACACGTATGGGAATTTCAAAATTGGTAAAGGTCACTGTCGTTTCGGCCTACAAACAGTAGATGGACAATGCAAAAGGATGACAATACAATTTTTTTCTTTTTATTGAAAGACCAATAACAACATTCCATCCACAATAGATATTGAGTTCAGCCTGAGGGTATAATTATTGACGGAAAATGGAAATTCATACTTTATGTCCTCTTATTATACCAGTTGAATGAACATATTGTATTAATGGGAGACAAACATGCTTTGCGGTCTGAGCTCTCAAAACATTTTTTTGTTCTTATAATTTGTCCAACTTCTTTCAAACTGTTGTCATTTTCTGTGACTTTTCTGCATTCACAAATTCAACTTGTATAAAACTTGAATTGCCCTTAAAGCAATACAAACTCATCAAGAAGACAGGTGTACCAGTTTTTATAAAAATTAAAAAATAATATCAAAGTAACGGGCCAAGGAGTTCAACCCAGTAGCATACTATAAAGCCAGAAAAATTATGTTCATGAAATGGTTGGACATTTCACGTAAAGATCGGATTTGCAAAAGTTTCATGCCACAATTGACAAATGCTTAATTTTTTGCAATTTGTGCACGTTTTCTGCCACGAAATATTGTTGTCCTAAAATGCTATCATGTAAAAGAATTCCCCCATTAAAAATTATAACACAGTTAATTGTTACCCTAGAAAAGCTTAATAAACATGTTCAACAATAAATTTTTAAGTAAGATTTGCAAACGGTACACATTTTTCCCTGAACCTATGATAAAATTGTATGATCATCTGTAACTTCAAGTATACAAATATGTCCCAAGGGAATACCTGGAACTGGTACTTGACAGACAGCTATTAAAGTCAATTTGTAAAATCATCGCAAATCACTGAAAGAGCATCAACAGCTTTTGCCATGAATGATTGATATTGTAATCACTTTATTAAAATGCTTCAGAACTATTAGTGAAATTTGGATACCAATAAAATAAACCAGTAAATGTTGTATTTAGACAGGTAAAATACTGTAGGCCGGACTTGTGTAAAGTTGTTGACAGTAATAATTGACATTGGAAAAGAAAAGAAAAGAAAGACACATTGTTATTCTTTATATTAGGCTGCACCATATTTTTTAATGCACATACAGTACATGTGTACTGTACATTATATTGTACCATAATATATTTACGTCTGAATTGAAATAAAAGACATCTGCTTTAAAATGGGAAACTGAAACAGTGCAGATTTTATGGAAAAATTAAAACCAGTCTGCAAGTTCTGAAGTACAGCCTGACATGCTAAATTTAATTTCCAATCAGCACACCCACAGTTTTAATTGATAATAAGTCCCTACTTAAACTTCACTGAAACTGAAGTATAGATACTGCAAGGATAAAGATTTAATAATTCATCTGCACTTTCATGTACACTAATGATATACAGTACAATGTACATCTTCATACTTAGACAGCTAATGATGTTTAAATCCTAAGACTTTCACTTTTGATCAAAGAAAAATAATGTTCACTATGTCTTTTTTTTTGTAATAATGTTTTTAAGAAATGTCATAAAACTTAGCTCAGCAAAGAAAACTGTTATCGGTACTCCCAATAATAAAATGTACATGTACATTGTACAGTATGTATGCAATGTGTAAATTTCAATCATAAATGCACAACTGTATACAGTTTGTAGTTGTTGTTGTTGTTTTATTTTTAAAATACTTTAGACAAAAATGTAAGATATTGATCTGTAGTTGTTTATTTTCTTTTACTCCTACAATATTTGTATATGATCATAAGGGGTCTTACATGTATCTTGTTGGACATTTACCGGTATACCACTGTAAAATATGATTGTCCTTTCAGACTTTTTAGGGTTGGATCATTTTTAGTTGGAATATCATAAAAAGAGAAAGCTATATCGGTCTAATTTATAATGCATGCATCCAACCATATCCAAGCGACAAACAAAATACAAATAAAAAATGTATGTCCTGAGCATGTCAATCCCTGAAGCCTTCCCCCTTTAAAAATTACAAGCTTGGTTTAAAGGCTAAACATCTGAGTGCCATGAAGGGTATGATGCTGTTTCACAGATCGCAGTAGGTGCAAAATTGTGCGCCCTGGAATTCCGTGCCCTGGGGCAGGCCGAGAAAAATTAATGGTTAAAGCTCAGCACGAGTGCACATTATTGAAATGAAGCTTGTATGATTGGAACATGGAATGAACAGTCCCACTAATGGACTCTCTTGCCACTTTTGGCACTTGTAAACAAGGCACTTGGTAGTGCATTGCCTGCCCTCGCAGATTGAAGAGTATGGTTTTGTGTTGAACTGGACTCTGGCTTCAATTACAATTGTATTACAAAATTGAATTAGTCAATGCAATGCATGTGGGTATTGAAGGACTTCACAACAGAATGAAATGCAGATTCTTCTGAGACACAGAATATTAAACAAAATATATTTTCAAGTACAAATTGAAAAGAAAATGTTTTCCTTGTAAAAGAGAAAATCTGATACTGTGTTTTTTAATTAGTACTCTTTAATTGACCCAAACAGAGCATTGTTGACTAGATGAATCATATAAACTGTATGGACTTTTAAAAATGTGTGTAAAATAACAAACACCAAGACATGATTTAACAAATTCTGATTCACAGTTGTATCAATCAGTAACTACTATAATACAGTGTAGATGTTCATAGAAATACAATGTAGCCTCAAGAGTATTTAATGTTTTCATTTATATACACTGTGTACATGTATCTTGTTCCCAACACAGAACCATTGTAAACAACCATGTACATGTAAACAACAATGTAGGTCATACAATAATATCCATCAAATTTGGCTCATCTTCTTTTACTGCCAATAAATGTTTGACCGTTGACAAATTATAAACTCACAGGAAACATTTCCAAAAACATAAAAGAACAAGATGAACAAAAGGTGGCTCACAAGACAATAAGAAAACCTTCGAGAGTGTCTTCATGTACCCCACACAGGGGATACCTGTCAAAACATATACCTCGTTACAATACATACAAAAATGTAAGGCGGTCTATTTTTTTTTCCATTTGCCCGACTGTACCGGCAAACGTCTGATTCAAAATCGGAAACAATGACAGTCATGTTTCTCCTCACGGTTGAAGGAGCGTCTCCTGTTACAGGGATCAATAAATCAATCGGACACTGGGCTGGACTTAAGAGTATCTAGAGGGATATGAGATATGGAACACTGAATCAGCTAATCACTGCAGGCTGATCCAGTCTGTTGATATAGATAATAGGTTTTAGTTTTACTATGGACTTTAATACTAATGGTATTACTATTTCTAAACTCCCTGAAGGACAGTTCTACGAACATGCTACAGCGACTAATGCTCGGAGGTCAATATCCTACATGTACATGTACATGTACACTAATACTCTTTTCACACTGGTTTTGCTTAACCCCGTACTTTGCTTAGCCCCGTACTATCCTTAACCCCGGACTATTTTTTGGGCTTTTCACACTCGCTGTTTTTAGTCCCGTACTAGCGCCTATTCCGGAATAAGAAAATTCCAGCTGTTCTCATTGCATTTCGTTAACCCTGGATATCGTGAATGTTATTATTGGACATACTTCGCATCTGGCCAGCTGCGATATGCTC